ATAAAAGGCAACCAAATACTGCAGCTCTTTGGTTACCTTTCATATAGACATCAAGTTAAATTTGAATTATGGTATATGAAGCACATTCTTGATAACACTCTTGTATGAAATAACACTAGTACCAACATGCTTAACATATGAAACATCACCATTAGGTAAGAATATCTTCTTAGAGTAATGAGGATCAACTATATTAAAGGAGGTTAACAAGCTAAGATCTGAGACCATGTGATCAGTAGCATCTGTGTCAATAATCCACTCTTGGATATTATTAGTAGCTAAGAATACAGTATTTATACCTGCAGCATTGGCAAGAGATGAAAAACAGGATGTCTTGTCGAGGAACTGAAGTATTTGATCATACTAATCCTTAGTAAGAGTCAATGGAGCCTGTGAAGGTTCCTGATTCACTGGTATAGATGAATGTCACGACGCTAAAACCGACTCGGTCGTGATGGCGCCTATCGTGAAACTAGGGCAGCCGACACAACTCCCGAATTAGCCATTAATCAATAAAAAATTTATTTTAAGCCTTTAATTAATCAAATACCTCATAACGTAAGTCTAAATGAATAGTGCACAATAAATATACAAGCCCGATATTGGGGTATCACAAGTCACGAGCATCTACTAAGATCTAAAAATATACTAAAACAATCTAAGGAATACAAGAGGGAGAAGAGCAGAGCTACGAACGTCGGGCAACTACCTTGCTAACTCCAATGACTCTGCCACTGAACAATCAACACCCGCTACCGGGTTCAGAAATACTTGAATCTGCACACAAGGTGCAGGGAGTAATATGAGTACGCCAACCCAGTAAGTAATAAAAGTAAATAAAAGCTGAGCAGTAAGAAAATATGTAAACCATGTCATAGTGCTACAATAAATGCAGGACATCTCCAGCACAGTACAGAAATCATTTACTTCGTAAATCATGCTCATTTTTAGTAAAACCTTTTAAAACAAATTTCAATAGTTTCAAACGAGTGATAAAACAGTGAGTAAAAATGATAGAAAACGTAAACAGCCCCTCGAGCAAAGCATGTACCATAAACTGCCCCTCAGGCATAATATCAACAGAACCAGCCCCTCGGGCTACCTCACAATCACTCATAATCAGCGCCTCGGGCATAACATGAATCAAGAACCGCCCATCGGGCAAAACATGGATCAAGAACAGCCCTTCGGGCGACAATATAAAACAACAACAACCACTCGAGCTACATCATATCACTATCACTCATACTGGGTACCGGTGCTCACTGGGGGTGTACAGACTCCTGGATGGGCTCCTACAGCCCAAGCGCAATAGCAAGCCATCCCGTGGCATAATCAACAGACTCTCGGCCTCATAACAAGCCACCTCGTGGCATAACAAGTCTGGCCCTTAGTCTCAAAATCATGAATCAATACAACACTACTGCGGCGCACAGCCCGATCCCATAGTATCCTCACAACATAGGCCCTCAGCTCACTCAGTCAGAAATCTCTCAAGCCACTCGGGCAACAGTAAAACATGAAGCTCAGCCCAAAATATTATTTAAAATATCAAAAACGGAGTAAATATGGTTGAGTTATGAAAATAGTAAAATACAACATGAGTGAGTATAAATATGAAGTCAAAATAATGAGGAATAGTAGTAAAAATCCCCTAAGGGTCCAAAACAGTTGGCACGAGGCCCAAATATGGCATTCAGCCCAAAACATGATAATACTTTCCAAAACACAATGATATCAAATAGTTTTCAGTTAAATATGCGACTTAATAGTCATACATGATGGACTAAGTCACAATAACCAACGATGCATGACCCCACGCTCGTCATCTAGCGTGTGCGTCACCTCAAAGTAGTACAACAACGTGAAATCCGGGGTTTCATATCCTCAGGACAATCATTTACAATCATTACTTACCTCAATCCGGTCCAAACTCTAGCCCGCTATGCCTTTGTCTCTCGAATAGGTCTTCAAATGCCTCGAATCTAACCAAAATTAGTTCCACATCATTAATACACGCTAAAGGAATAAAGCCCAAGCAAAAATAATCGAATTAACTCAAAAATTTCCGAAATTGGCCAAACCCGGCCCCCAAGCCCACATCTCAGAATCTGATAAAAATTACATCAATAGTATCCTCATTCTCCCACGAGTCCATGCATACCAAGAACATCAAAATCAGACCTCAAATGGCCCCTCAAATCTCCAATTTACACTCTCCAATGTCAAGCCCTAATTTCCCAATTTTAGGCTTTAAATCCCACAAATTTCATGTTTAAACAAGTAAGAATCAACAAAAGATCGAGTATTGAGTACAAAAATCTTACCTCCAAGTGTTTTCCTTCGATTCCCTCTTCAATCCTTCTCAAAAAGCTCCAAAGTCGCTCAAAAATAGAGGAAATAGACCAAAAATCTCGAAAACCACTTTTAAAACATTCTGCCCAGGGATTATTTTCCTTCTTCGCGAACGCGGCCTCACTCTTGCGTTCGCGTAGCACAATTAGCTACTGACCAAAAATCCTTCTACGCGAACGCGATGCATAACTGACTCACCTCTTCGCGAACGTGACGCCTACTACGCGAACGCGTAGCACAAATGCTTTGGTGTCCCAGCTACTCCACTTTCTCTATGCCAACGCGATATCGCTCACGCATTCGTGATGCACCACTGTACAGACCTTCGCCATCGCGGCCCCCCTTCACGAACACAAAGCACAAATCCTCTCTTGCCTCCAGTTCCCCTTCGCGAACGCAAAAAAGGAAACCAACAACTGAACACCAGATTTTCTACAATTCCAACAAGTCCAAAACTAGTCCGTTAACCATTCGAAACTCACCCGAGACCCTCGGGACCTCAACCAAACCTGCCAACATATCCCATAACATCATTCAAATTTGTCCCAACCTCCAGAACGCTCAAAACAACATCAAAACATCAAATCATCAACAGATTCAAGCCTAAAATTCCAAAAACTTCTGAATTCCAAATTCGATCAAACAGTCTATCAAACCTCATCTGAATGATCTGAAATTTTGCGCACACATCCCAAATGACACAACGGACCTATTTCAATTTCCGAAATTCCATTCCGACCCCTATATCAAAATCTCATCTATCAACCGAAAACGCTAAAATTCTAATTTCGCCAATTCAAACCTAAATCTACCACGGACCTCCAAAATACATTTCGGACGCGTTCCCAAGTCCAAAATCACCTAACAGAGCTAATCAAATCATAAAAATCCAAATCCGAGATCGAATACTATAAAGTCAAAACTTGGTCAAACCTTTCAAATTTTAAGTTTCAAACTGAGAACTGTTCTTCCAAATCCATTCTGATTACCCTAAAAACCAAAATCGACGATTTACATAAATCATAATACATCACACGGGGCTAGTCATGCCCGAGAACTAGCGAACGAAGTGCAAAAGCTCAAAACGACCGATCGAAAAATAGCTAAAAAGTTATTTTGCTTTAAAAACACTTAAAATAAGCAAATCCAAACAGGCACTTAGGCGAAAACGGCTACGAACTTATCGACTCATTAACTTTTTAAATCACATGACAACAATATGCGTGACGCAAAGCGCTTGAAATGTGAACATTAAAAAACAACTTTTAAAAATGGTCGGTTGGCTAAATATGCCACTCCCACCTGAAATGTGAGTGCTGTATAGCTATCAAGGCCGACGTAATTTAATTTGTGGAATTCACATAGTGTGACTTCAGGGGCTGAGTCACAAGTCCGTATACGAGCTCGGTAGAATTCAATAGCTTTGATTTAAATATTTTGTTTTTGTGAAATAAATTATTTAATATATATGAATAATTTATTCTGAACCCAGTAAATTACTTTTTCTGAAATTCAAAACTCATAAACTTAAAATTTTAGTTCCGCTTCTAGTTGGCTCGCTGGCCGACTTTCATTCGAACATTAAAAAAACAATAACAACAATTATTAGCATTAGTATTATATCTTAATTTCAAATAAGTTGAAATCGGCAAAATAAGTCCTCATTCTTTCGTTTAAAATCAACTCATTTTATCATCAGGCCTAATAAATTATATTAATTTAAAAGAAAAAGTTAATTAAGGTATACGTACTAGAGAAAAGTTCCTATGTGGCATTTTAGGAGAAGACGAGGGAAGAAGTAATTGTGGGATTCAAGTGCTTCATTACCTACCTGCTGAAAGTTCAGCCGAACCTAATTCTATTAAAAAAATTATCTACATAAGTTTTTAACAAGGTCTTATCTATTCCACATATCTTATTAGTTTATTGCCATTCCATTGAAAATCAATGAGAACAAAGAGACTTTTTCAATTTCCATAGAAGCAAACTGATCTTTCATAAGAAAAAGACCTCAAATTTCTAGTGAAAGTATGCATGTGAAAAGAGAGCAAATTAGACTACAAAATGCTAGTTAAAAAGGAGTTCTGATATTTTTTTAATTTTTTTTTTCTCCCCCTTAGTTTCCGGATCTTAGAAAAGGCTTGAGATGAATCATGTGACTTGACCTAACTAGAAGAATTTAAAAAAATAAACCACTTTTTCAAACCTTTCATCATCCTAATTACAATTACGTATCTAATTAATGATTAACCATATTTTATTAGGTGGAAGATAACATACGAAATAAAATATGGAACAACTCATCGGACCACTGCCCATTTTGAATTTACCAGTATTAAGTGATAAATGGATACAAATACTAATTAAGAGTATTTTAATTTATTTAAAAAAAATACTAATTTGTACCTATGTATGCACTAATTTACTTTGGTGCATACATAGGTGCAAATTAGTTTTTTTTTTAAAAAATAAATTAAAATACTCTTAATTAACACATTAACAAGAAAGTGATCGATGTTCTCCACTCCAGTCAACAAATTGAAATAATCTTGTTAAAAATACCACTTGGCACGGCAGAATCTTGTCAATAAATACCTTCCTCAGTTGTTTCATTCCATGCAATTATTATTGTAACTTAACCTCATTAATTAATTAAGAATAGAAGGAAGACAATCTTGTCTACTTAAATCAAACCCTTCCTATAAATGGTTTAAACAATCCAAAAAACACTTAACAACAGAATCGTGAAGAATGGATTGCTGGTCTGCTGAAAATGCTACCAATGCCTTTCTCAAAACGCTAAAAATGGTAAGTACTACGCGCAATATAATCTCTCCTCTCCTTTGTACTTATTTTTCTGAGTTTTAGCTAGTTTCTCTTCTGTAAAATAACAATAATACTTCCTCCGCTTCAAAAAGATTGTTTTAGTTTGACTTGACACAAACTTTAAAAAAGAAAGAAGACTTTTGAGGTATGTTGCCTTAAATAAGCCATATAATATTTGTGTGGCGGTAAAACTTTTGAAACTTGTGGTTTGAAATCTGTCATATTACTCGTGTGGTTCTAACTGCTTCTTATTAAGAAAATGTTGAAAGGTGTCAATCTTTTTTAAACTGACAAATAAGAAAATAGTGTCAATCTTTTTGAAACAAAGGAAGTAATAACTATACCCCAATGCCAAAGTAAATCCGGATCAGCTATATGAATTCACACTATTTATGTCGTTTCTTTAAGTTCGTCCCACTTTAGTGATATACTCGTAAATTTGTTTTTAATTATGGAAATTTCAGGGTGAAAGAGGAAAAGCGCCTGATGTAACAGAGTTCATATCCGCCATGGCAGCCGGAAATAATGCACAACTCATGGTGATGGCATGCTCCGGCCACCCTGGATCCGCCCTACTAGGATTAGTAGCGGCGGCTCATCAAACCGGTGGCCGGGTGATATGCATATTACGTAGACAACAAGATATGCATGCAGCTAAAAAAGCATTATTGGGAGACTATGCCAATTTTGTTGAGTTTGTGATTGGTGAAGATGTTAAAACTTTATTGGTAAGTAATTATGAAGGAGCTGATTTTGTACTTATTGATTGTAAATTGGAGGATTTCCAAGAAGTATTTGAAGCAGCACAACAAGGTGTTTGTACTGTTAAAGGTGCCTTTATTGTAGGGTACAATGCCCTAAATGAAGGTCCTAAGCTAGGTTTTGATCATAAGGGTTATTTTCTACCCATTGGAGAAGGGTTATTAATTAGTAAAATTACTGTTTCAGAAGGTAAAAAGATTGTTGGTGGTAAGAGGAGCCACTGGGTTGTTGAGGTTGATGAATGCAGCGGGGAAGAACATGTTTATAGGGTCCGTACTTCTCCTATTAGATACAAGGATTTGAAGATGGCAGGGCACATGAGCTGATTGTTCAACCAGTGATACATACATAATTTTTGTGTCCGGTGACCTTGATCTATTGCATATATAGGTCCGCCTCTGTCTCCGAATACAAAGTACTAGAACTTTAAGGTTTATGCGAATTTTAGCATCGACGAAATTCAGTAACTTTTTTTAATGGTGCAATTATCGAGGCAAGCGAAAACTTGTTACAACACAGGTATCGGATAACCTTGGTCGACCAAGGCCTAGGCCTAGGCGGATTGGGAAGAAAATCACCTACTTTATAGTTTTAGCATCTGAGGGGATGTGTACATTGTGTTCGGATGCATCAGCAAATCCAGTAACTACTATAAGTAGTAAGTACTAAGGTGTAAATATACTGTATACAGCCAGTTGCAGTAGTAGCCTACTCTAGCCTTTGTAATTATTAAGAAGAGGTTAGAAATTTGCTGTAGCCGTGTATGTCTATTTACTAGCTTTGATTGGATCTGTTAAAATCTTGATCTTTTGCCAGCCCATTTCTGTTTTACATTAATAAAAGCACAAAAAGAACGATAAATAAACAAAGGACAAAGTACATATGACCAAGAAATAAATAAATATATGATTAGATTGTGATTGTCGAGACTTCTCATTGTAAGAGAGATTACTTATAAGTTCCTCCCAGTATCTTGATTAGAAAAATTTAAAATACAGCTTTAATCATGTTTTAGTTATAATTAATCTTGATCTAGTCTGAGAAATCTCACGCGTTGTGTGATAACTGGTACAATATTTACGATTTGAGAAAATGACATTGCATAGTCGCTCTCAAAATAATAGCCCAAAATGCATATATATATATATATATATACACTTTTGTATATTACATATAAAAAATATACAAATTTTATACACTTTTACAACTATCGAAGGTAAATAATTTCACTTTGCAGGCTAAAAGTGATCTTTACTCTTGGGGCATTTGCATCTATACCCGCTTTTTTTGTCACATTTTAACTTGTGCCCGCTTTGCAAAAAAATTTGCAAGCGTACCCGCTTTTTCGCATAACTTCAGCACACGGGGCTGAAGTAGCAAAGACAATCACACAAAACTTCAGCATTCTAGTAGCCGGGCCTGAAGTTCAGCTCTAGAGCTGAAGTTTTTGTTTTGTAACTGGCGAACTTCAGCTCTAGAGCTGAAGTTTTTGTGTTGTAACTGGGAAATTTCAGCTCTAGAGCTGAAGTTTTTATCTTTGTAACTGGTGAACTTCAGCTCTAAAGCTGAAGTTTTTGTTAATTTGCTGTATTTGTCAATTATAATTTTCTAGCTGTATTTTTGTTGTTTTGCCTTAGTTGTAGCTAGTGGCTGTTAGCTGGAGTGGACTAGAATGAACAAGTTATGTTTTTAAGAAAGCCACAAGATGCTTGATATATGTCCTCTGAGACAAAAGAAGGAATAACGGTGCCCAAAAAACAAAAATAAGTAGAGAGGCGTATGAATATATACTGCACAAAAATCATACCAAGAAATATATATATATTTCCAAAGGGCACACAAATAATTGGCCTTACAAAAATGCTTTCCAACAGTGAGCAATCCAAAACAAACCCTACTGGTAACTTAAACTTTTTCCTAAGACTAACTTGCTGTAAATTTGGAGCAGAAGTACAACTGCCGAACTGTTCAATTAAAAAAAAATTGACCTTATAACTAAAGCAGCGTTGCTTCTGGAGATAAATACCAATTTGTTTTATAACTTAGAAGAAAACAAAGGAGGATAAGGAGGAGGAGAAAGAGGGCTAAAGTTATTTAAAAAGTGGGTACAAATTAAAAAATTTTAAAAAAATGACTATAAATTAAATGGGGGCAACCAAATAGGACGCCCAGTGCAAATATACGAGTGGCCCACTACATAAAGCATTGTAAAAAGCCCGGCTTCGAAAAACTAAGAAACTTGCCACGAGAATAAGCCGTCTTTTGACGATTTCTATACGTTGGGATCTTTACCCAAATAGTCCACTCTACACGCTTGGCCAGTTGGTTCGATATTGGACGGTTATTTGTGTAAAACCCCACAAACCTTAGCTACTGGCGTGGGTAGCCACTATCTAAGGTGATATTTATTTTTTATTCAGTAATTTTAATATTGAGTAAAAATAGCCACTAATCTATTAAAATTAATATGAGAAGATATTTTTACCCTTTCTTCCATTACTTTTCTTCCTAAACCCTCGCTTCTCTCTCTCAAGTTCGATAACTATTGTTGGAATGAGAAGGAGGGTCCCGTCTTTGTCAGATTCTTCAAGTGGATCATTAGGGTGATTTTTGGCATTTTTCTGCACGAGTTTTGATTTTTGGTTAAGTTTAGGGAAGTCATTTAATAAAAGGAGAGAGAAAGCAGTGCTTTTTGAACTGTTTTGATTTTTGATTGGAATCTTTTGTTTTTATTTTCAAGTTGAGTACCAGTTAAATACTAAAGCATCAATGAAACTAATCGACAGAAAAACTTGTAGAAATGGCGTGGGCGTTGTTTAAATGATTTGGTCCTTAACTTAGAGTTACAAGCACAGAAATTAAGGATATGTAGTCCTTAACTTAGAGTTACAAGCACAGAAATTAAGGACTGCTAGTCCTGAATTTAGAGTTACAAAAACTAAGGACATGTAGTCCTTAACTTAGACTTACAAGCACATAAAGTAAGGACGGTTAGTCCTAAACTTACAATAACAAGTTCATAAGTTAAGGACACATGGTCCTGAACTTAGAGTTAGAAGTTCAAAAATTAAGGACACTTAGTCCTTAACTTAGAGTTACGAGCACAGAAATTAAGGACAGGTAGTCCTTAACTTAGAGTTACAAGCACATAAATTAAGGATAGGTAGTCCTGAACTTTGAGTTCCAAGTTCAAAAGTTAAGGACATGTAGTATTGAATTAGAGTTACAAGTTCAAAAGTTAAGGATAAGTAGTCCTAAACTTAGACTTACAAGCTCATAAATTAAGGACAACCAGTCCTGAACTTACAATAACAAGTTCATAAGTTAAGGACACTTGGTCCTAAACTTAGAATTGGGAGATCAATACAGGACACTTTATCCTTAATATTTACACAGCATTCATGAAGTTAAGGACACCATGTCCTTAATATTTACACAGCACACATATCTAACACAGGGGTATTTTTGTCCGGACAAGTAAAAGATTATTAAGCACTGACTAAAAAGTAAATACATCTTAAACAATAGATAAAGAGTAAAGACATCTTTAAATAGTGTCTAACCGTGCACTTCCCCCTAAACATACTCGTCTCCATTTAAGCTTGGGGATAACTATTACTCTGAGTCATTTAGCAAAATTGTGTACTCTAACCTTACCCTTTTGTCTCCATTTAAGCAACTTATTAGTATTAAAATATTTAACAACTAGTAGCAAGGGCGTACGCAAAAATTTTCATAAACGAAGTCGACACTTAAATATAAGTAATTTTAAGAATACCATATTAAAAAAAGAATACAAAAATAATTTCCATAAATTGCAATCTTGCAGAGGTAGCTGAATACTTTTTTTAAAATTAACATTTTGAGTTGGCTGAAATAATTCGTTCTCAGGAACTAGGAGCTTTGTTTTTATCTCAAGTGACATATATCTTTAGTTCATTGGTTTAGCTGATGTTTTACGGTTTTAAGAGCTTAAATGTTCAATAATCGTCACCTTCTTTTGTTTTCAAAAAATAGCAAAAGCAGGCACAAAACTTAAAGAACCAATGCAGCATGAGATTCGAACACTCAGACTTTGAGGGAACAACAGAGATGCCTAATCATTGAACCAAGAAGCCCCACCTGTTTGTGCATAATAACTTTATGTATTATATAAATCTGCATTTTGTCATATATATATATATATATATATATATATATATAAAATGATATTTTCCGATGAAGTGGTGTCGGATGACACACTGACACTGCTTCACCTAAGATAGATCCACCCCTGTCTAGTAGACGTGCAAGATATTAAAATATTAAATTCATTACATAACATAAATTCAACCATTTTGTGTGGTTCGTACTCTGTGCACTGTAAGTTCCCTAAAAATATTACAACCTATATTTGTCATAAGATTAAACTTTAGAATGCAGATTATATAATAGGAGGGTTCTGAAAGAGTGATTGTTTTGTGAAAATCGCTGACATTTTGTGTAGAAAATTAAACATTCTTAATTAGTATATAGTTATACGTACCTCAAGTTGACTCGATGAGTTTATCTAATTTTAGAGCGAATTTTTTGTACCATTAGTTATTTTTTATATAGTAAATATTTTAGATGACGATAGAGATCCTTGTCCTAGATATCATGCTTTTTTTCTATTATTCATTCATTATGACATTTTTAGGGTGTCGACACATTGTGAACATTGAAATACGAAAGCGAAGTGTCAAACTTCATAAACTAAGTAGGAGTATTGTACTACTTAATTTCTAATTAAGCCTTCACTTATCAGCTTATTCTAGGCAAATGTATTACCCATAAGATTTGGTTCATTTAGGTACGTAGTAGAATTCATCAAATCTTATCCAACTTATACATGGATAATGTGGCATCAATATTATTTTTCTTCTTTCCTTTTAGTAAGGCATATTGAGTATTGCACTTCTTCCTAATGTGTGGTCCAAACACTTAACCTCTAGCGTTGCCTATATATGTGTGTCAAAACAGATCAAGGTTTTGTAGTTGGATAATATTTATTAATGGACAAGAGAAAGGGAAATCTCGCAGAAAAAATATTGAAGGCAAGATCTAGGCATTTGATGTCAGAATTTCCTCCTTATATTTTGTACTGCATCGCTTCGTCATATTTGAATAAGAAAGTACAGGAGCTGTCCTATTATGTTTCTTTTCTTTTTTCTTTTTACGGGCTATCCTAATCATTAATTAATAGGGGCACATATGCTGGTTTGTTTGCTAAATTATAATACGTCTTCATTAATTAATTAATTACTCCCTCTATTATTCCAAAATATTTATCATGCTTCTTTTCTCGAGAGTCAAACTACGTGACCACATTTAACATGTATTTTTTACCAAGAAGAACTACAAAGTATAGCATTTTTCATATAGCTTTTGGAAATCTAGATTTTTATTTTAAAATATGAAAAAGGTCTAAATTATCCCTATTGTTTGGTAAATGGTTTATATTTACCTTCCGTCCATCTATCCATCTAGTTCGATTTGCAGCGGATATTATACCCATATTTGATTTGTGAATGGGAGAGTCACTTGACCCAGTAAAAATATGCCGGCGCATTAATTCGATGGCCCACATGTTGCATCGTTAAAAGGAGGGACAATTTTATTAATAAAAATAACGTGATATATATTTTTAGACAGATAGATGGACGGATGGTAAATATAAATCATTTACCAAATAAGGGGTAGTTTAGGCCCTTTTTCGTTTAAAATATTAAATTGAACTAATTCAATTTAGCTTTAAAGATTAGTCAAATTGACTCTCGAGAATCGAAACATGATA